GGCCACGAGCGTCCCGGCTCTTCACGTCCACCCCGTACTGTGCGGGAGAGAAAGCAGCTGGTCAGTGGCACCCAGGTGCCACAAGGCCCGTGGGCACGGGGCTGGTGCAGCAAGAGCACCAGCAGAGGCAAGGGGCTCTGTGGCACTGGGGCGGGCAGGGAGAGGGAGATGGGAGAATGGGTAGGGCAGTGCCAGCGGGCACGTGGGAGAACCCGTGGGAGGGGGACGGACGAGAGGTGTCCCAAGACCTGGGAGCAGGGAAGTGCTGCAGCGGGGAAGCACCGGGAGAGGGCCAGAAGCACCACAGTGGAGGCTGCGGGGTCCTGCCTTACCCAGATGAGCAGCTGCGTGAAGACTACGTTGGCCATGGCGCAGGAGAGATGCAGTGCTGTGCGCCCATCTCCATCCCCGTAGGTCTCATTCACTTCCTCCTTGGTGCCATGGGCCAGGAGCGTCACCACGAGGCGCAGGTCATCCTCTACCACAGCCCGCAGCAGCTGCTGCCCCAGCGGGATGTCCGATTGGGGCAGCGGAGCCAGGAAGAGCTTCTGCTCATACTTGGCCCGGATCCAGCGCTCCTTCTCCTCCCTGCCAGATGGGACAGTGTCACTGTCACAGGTGGGCCAACCTGCCTGAGCCCCATGTGCAAAGGGGCATGCGTACCAGCGCTGCCACCCTGAACGCATCCCGTGTTAGCAGTGCATGTTTGCCACACACAGGCATCCCTTGCATAGCCCCTGCTGCAGACACCTCCCCTGCTGTGCCCCCCGCGCACACGGCTGTCACTGGGGCTCTGTCACACTGCCCCGGACACATGCCCAACACGTGCTTGTCTCACTGCGCCTCCTTATAGCTCCCTACGTACACTCTGCGCTTACGTCCATGCATGTACAGCAGCAGTGTCCCACACCCAGACCCCACACCTGTCACTGCAAAGGGACACCCGCACCTCCATGCTAGTGCCCCTGCACACTCTCCTGCATGCCCGTTACGTGGCAGTGCGGGGACCGTCTCTGTCCCGTGCTTGTGTGCGGGCCATGGCCAGCGGCAAGAAAAGGTTAGCTGCTGCACACGACAGCCCAGTGCCATGGGAGGCACGTTATCACTGCTGCCGTCTCGCCTGGTGCCAACAAAGGCTGCGGCAGGGTCCCGCCGCCTGGGGCTGCGGGGCCGGGCGGATCGATGTGTGCCGTGCCGCCGCTATCTGCTGCCATTCTATCCATCTGCATCTGGCGGGCGGCCATCAATGCCCCGCGCGGAGCATGCTCACTCCCGCCGCCCCCTGACCCGCTCTTATCCGTTGATAAGCCGCAGAATGGGCTCTTGTTGGGATGAGTGACAGGAGAGTCGCTCCGATAGGGATAGACAAGGGCCTGAAAGGGACGCACCCTTGAGACCTGAACGACGCTGCCCAGCCGTCTCTGTTAAAC